CGGGCGACACATTTCAAAGCGCCCGCGGGAGGCGCGCAACCGCAACCGCAACCGGGCGACACATTTCAACCCGCCCGCGGGCGCAACCGCAACCGCGACCGGGCGACACATTTCAACCCGCCCGCGGGAGGGCGCGCAACCGCAACCGCAACCGGGCGACACATTTCAAAGCGCCCGCCGCAACCGCAACCGCAACCGGGCGACACATTTCAAAGCGCCCGCGCGCGCAACCGCGCGCAACCGCAAGCGACACATTTCAAGCGCCCGCGGGCGCGCAACCGCAACCGCAACCGGGCGACACATTTCAAAGCGCCCGCGGGCGCGCAACCGCAACCGGGCGACACATTTCAAAGCGCCCGCGGGAGCGCGCAACCGCAACCGCAACCGCAACCGGGCGACACATTTCAAAGCGCCCGCGGGAGCGCGCAACCGCAACCGCAACCGCAACCGGGCGACACATTTCAAAGCGCCCGCGGGCGCGCAACCGCAACCGCAACCGGGCGACACATTTCAAAGCGCCCGCGGGAGCGCGCAACCGCAACCGCAACCGCAACCGGGCGACACATTTCAAAGCGCCCGCGGGCGCGCAACCGCAACCCAACAACCGCAACCGGGCGACGCATTTCAAAGCGCCCGCGGGAGCGCGCAACCGCAACCGCCACCGCAACCGGGCGACACATTTCAAAGCGCCCGCGGGCGCGCCACCGCAACCCAACCGGGCGACACATTTCAAAGCGGCCGCGGGCGCGCAACCGCAACCGCAACCGCAACCGGGCGACACATTTCAAAGCGCCCGCGGGCGCGCAACCGCAGCCCAACAACCGCAACCGGGCGACACATTTCAACCCGCCCGCGGGAGGGCGCAACCGCAACCGCAACCGCAACCGGGCGACACATTTCAAAGCGCCCGCAGGCGCGGAGGCCGAGGAAGAGGACGAGGAGGAGGAGGAGGAGGAGGAGGTGGAGGAGGACAATGAGGGGGTGGAAATGGATGCCGAGGAGGAGGGGGACGACGACGACGACGACGACGACGACGACCAGGACGACGACGACGACGACGACGACGACGAGGGCGAAGAGGAAGACTGAGCAACAGCAGGGGGATGGGCTGGGGGGGGCAGGGGGCGGGGGACGACAAGGAGAAAAAGGATGCGCCACTGGCGGAGGGCCCGACGACGAACCCCCGCGTGGCCCGCGGTTCTCCGCCGGGACATTGCAGCGGGAAATCCCTATTCTACGCTGCTGCCTTTGATTTTTTTTTTTGTCTCTCTCTCTCTCTCGTGCTCCACCATCATAATTTCGCCAATGTCGCATCCTTCCATCCGTCTGCTCTTCCCCTGCCTCAGGAGCTGCACGAAATTCACGTTGCAAGTGAGGAAGATATACCCACACTGGGGTACGATCGAAATCGACGAGGGTGGGTATCGAGGGTTTGGGATGCACGTGTTGAATGGCACGCTCGCACATAAGAGCGACCAGTCTTAAACTAGGTGTTGTTGGTGGTTGTGGTATTGTTGTCGCTGTTTTTTGTTACAGTTGTGGTTGTTGCTGCTGCTGTTGTTGTTGTGGTTGTTGTTGTTGTTGTTGTTGATGTTAGTGTTGTTGTGGTTGTTGTTGTTGTTGTTGTTGGTGGTGGTGGTGGTGGTGGTGGTTTCGGTGTTGTTGTTGTTGTTGTTGTTGGTGTTGTTGTTGTTGTTGTTGTCGGTGGTGGTGGTGCTGGCTGTTGTGTTGTTGTTGTTGAACATTATTTCTTCTAAAGAATAATTATTGTTGGGACCCCTGGTGCGCGCCCCCCCCGCCGCGCCTAGGCCGCAGCCACGTTTTCATAATTTTCGTGAGGAAGTCTCAGGCAAAACGATGTGTACCAGATCCGGTTGTTTTGTTGTCCCCCGTTTTCCCTTGTAAAAATATGCTAAAGTGGACATTTCTTGTTCTAACATAACCAAACTTCAAGAATCCCTTGCAAAAAATAAGGTAAAGTGGACATTCGCGCGCGCAATACGAAATCCTTCCAAAACCTTAGTTGTCGTAGCGATTTTAACATAAAAACATCAAACAACCAATGTTTTTTTTTTTGTCAAAATTTCATCCCGCGCGCTCTTGCGGATTCGTAGGAAACCCAACACTTTTTAAACATTTCTGTCAAACGGGCTTTTGCGAGCAACTTTTTCGAACTTCTGCGACAACGGTTGCGCACCTGCCAGGGCCATCATCCCTGTCAAATAATACCATGCGGGACACATTCGTTTTTTCTTCGCGCGCGCACGCCGTCGTCGTCGGCCGCGGGGCCCTGAATAGTAGCCACGGTCGTCCGCATGCCACGAAGTGAAGTGTCCGAACGTCATAGGGCGGGAAGCTGGGTGTGGGTGGTGGCGAAGAGTCGTTTGGAAATTTGGTAGAGCTTGAACGGGCCCCCCCACAAAGTGGGGGTATTCCCCGCCTCCTATGAAAACCCTGGCACTGGTGAGAACGGAGTGTCCCCACGTGCTAGTAATTGTTGTTGCTGTTGTTGTTGTTGTTATTGTTGTTGGTGTTGTTGTTTCTGTATTCGTTGTTGTTGGAGGAGAAGGAGGAGGACGAGGAGGAGGAGGACAGGTACGGGAAGTGAGGAGGAGAAGGGGGAGGAGGAGGACGAGGAGGAGAAGGAGGAGGAGGATAAGGAAGAGCAGGAGGATGAGGAGAAGGACGACGACAGGGATAGCGGAGGGGGGGGGCTGCTGCTGCTTCTCCTGTTGTTCTTTCTCCTGTCTCCTCTCCTGCCTCCCCCCCCCGTGCGCGCTCCTGGGCGCGAGCACAGGGGATCCAGGCTGAGCCTCCAACATGGGGTTTCGACATCCATTTGTGGATGGTAGATTCGTCCGTCGAGAGTCATGGGCCTTGAGGTGCAATGGATGGACCTCGATCCTTCGATCCCTCCCTGGATCCTGGGAGGTTTGGGCTTGTCCCGCGATCCCTCGATTCCTTCCTCGATCTCTCGGTCCCCCGATCCCTCCCTCGATCCCCGTGTATATGTCTTTCCGGGAAGTTTGGGCCTGTGGGTGCAATGGCTGGGGATGGGGTTGGGGGATGCGGATTGGTCGTCGGGAGTTAGGGCGAACGGCGGATGAGGAGGCGGAAGGGGACGAGCCAGATCAGGATGAGCAGGATAATGAAGGGGAGGACGAGTGAGCAGCAGTAGGAGCAGCAGCAGGAGGGATTCTCGCAAGCAGGAGCTTGACGAGGGGGAGGAGTAGGCGGAGGACCAGAGTAAACCCAAGATGCACCAGCGATGCTGCAATCCACACGCCCGTCCCAAGTCTCCTCTTCATCAGTCGCCTCAAGCCCTCCCTTTCACTACAAGGAGCGCCCTCTTCAAAGACCAGCACCCTGTGGGGCCAGCCGTTCGGGCGAGAGTGCCGTTTTAACTGATTTGCATATTTCTGGCGCGTCGTTCGGAGTGTGAAGGGATATGATCATACAGTTCGGCGCGGTGTCCAGCGAGGTGCCCGCTTTGAAGGATGACCGCCCCATCCGTGTAACCGTAGCGCAAGTTGACGCTTCTGGTCATGAACTTCGAGGAGGTATCAAGTGAGGCCCCCCCCTTCTGACAAAGGAACCGCCCTTCATCCGTGCAGCTGCTACATGTGCTGAATCTGCGGATCTTAGGTTCGAAGGGTGTGTAGGGCGCGGGCCCCATTCTGGAAAGGAACCGTCCTCCACTCTTACAGCGGTGGCAGGCTTTCAAGACGGATGTGCCCGGTGCTGTGGCGAGAACACACACTTGTGAGCCAGACCCCCCTCCATCCGTGTGATTGTTAAACGTTTGTAAGAGTGCGCGGCGCTGAGGCAAGAGCCCCATTTTGAACGGCGTCTGCTCCACCAGTTTATTAGTCGCAAGCTTTTTAGACGAACGTGCGCGATCCTACTGCTGGATCTCTATTTAGAACTGACGCTCTCCGTTCCCTACTCTCCCAAACGTTTGGAGTGAATGTGTGCGGTGCTAAGGCGATTCGCTTAGGTTGGAACACTAAGTCTTCCATCTGCGTGTCTGCTGCGAGTTTCAAGCTTCATGGTCGCACGTGGGGCGGCAGTGTCAGCGGAAATGCTTGACCCGCCCTGCCGACCTGTCTGATGGTGCGACAAGGAGGAGCTATCTAAGGAAAAGGCGCGGAGGAGTAGGAGCAATGGGGGAGGATTGGGGGGAGGATGTATTGACGAGGGGCAGGAGGCGGAGGCGAAGAAGGAGGTGGAGCACGCGGAGGTGTATGTATTCATGGGGACATGGCGGCATGCAGGAGGAGGGAGGATGAGGAGGAGAAGGAGGATGAGGAGGGGACCATCTTTACAACATCTTCCCCCCCCCTCTGTGCGGGCCTCGCCACGTCTGAAGTCTTGAGTCTGAAGTCCCCCCCCTCCCCCCCTTCTCTTCTCAGACGTCGGCCCCTCGACACGCCTGTGGTGTTTTTGGTCACAATTGTCGTGCGGACTCAGCAGTGACTTCCGGAAGGCCTGCCCGGAAGCCTCAGATACCAGTCGACTTCCGGAAGGCCTCCCAGGGGCCCGGAAGCCTCGAGTCCGCCTGGATACCTTTAGCCTCGATCTTCCATCCTCGAACCTTCACTCTACTCTCCTTATGCTCCGTCTCCTCCTCCTCGCCCTCCTCTTCCTCGCCCTCCTCCTCCTCCTCCCTCCTCCTCCTCCTCCTCCTCCTCCCTCCTTTGCCCCCCCCCGCCCCCCCCCTCCCCCCATCCCTCCCCCGCGTTCGGCCCGAGACCGTGCAGACCCTCGACCCCCTCTGCCTTCGATCACCTCGAGTCTTCGATGCCCTCGGAATCCTGGAATTTCCTTGAGTCCTCGAGTCCTCGAGCATGGATCCTCGAATCGTCTAATCCTCGAATCTTCGACCCTCGACCCTCGACCCTCGACCTTCGATCCTCGAATTCGCAAACCCTTACCCTCCTCCGATTTCCCCCCTTCCCCTCCTCGTCCTCTTCCCCCTCTCTCCTCCGCGCGGCCCCGAGACCCTGCAGATGCAGGTGACGCAGACGGCCTTCACATCGTCGAAGATGCCCAAGCACGACTCACACGGGCACGTCAACGGCCACCTCGTCACAAGGGGTTGGGCTCATTCTTCTCCCCTTTCTCCTCTTTCTTCCTGTCTTCCTCCCTCCCTTACTCCCTCCCGCCCTTCTCTCTTTCCCTCCTCTCTTCTCCCTAACACATGCTAACAATGTCAGAGGAACGAACGACTCCGAAGGTCTCAGTTGCAGAGGGTCGTTCCGAGGCGCTCACTTGAAGAAGCCCTCCTCCTGTTTCCTCGTCTTCCTCTCCTCTCTTCCTCTCTTCTTCGTTGCTCCCTCCTCTCTCTTTTCCTGCTCCCCTTCCCCTTCCCTCGTGTCGTCCTCTCCCCGAGTACAAGCAGAGGGACGAGCGACTCCGAAGGTCTCGCTTGCAGAGGGTCTCTCTACAGTCCCTCCTTAGGCCCATCCCAATCGATCGGCCCTTGGGTGCCTGCCATGTTGTCGAGGAGCAGGACAAGGTTGAAAGGGTGGGAGCAGGAAGAGGAGGATGAGGAGGGGGGGAAGAAGGTGGAGCCAGAAGCGAGACGGCAAGAGGAGGAGGAGGAGGAGGAGGAGGAGGAGGAGGAGGAGGAGGAGATTGAGGAGATCGAGGAGGTTGAGCGAGCTCCATACCCATTTTGGCTCAAGTATGAAAGCGTCGCCCTGCGGCTTCGTGCTTGCTCGCAGTTAAGGGGCTGGCCCCAGGGGGGCCCGCTTCAGTATGCTTCCTCTCGCGATCCCCACGGCGAACTCTCGTGCGACCGTGGGCCGCTTCCAGTCCAAGGTTGCATCCTCGTTTGTCGTTCCTTCGCATGGGCCTTCCCTGGCAGCAGCACGGTGGCGGGCGGTGGACGTGCTCGGGCCGTGGGTGCGGCAAGGACGCGCCCCACCGCAGCGCCCGCAGGCACTGCCAGCTTCACTGGTGCTGGGCTCGGCAGGCGGAGGCCCGCGGAGGTGCAGGCAGCTCGACAGTCGCGCACTCGGGCCGCAAGACTGGTGGTTGGTGGTGCTGCCCCTCTCTGTCCTCTCCCCTCTCTTACCACGTGGCAGGTGACGAAGGGTTTGGAGGAGACGCTGGAGGATCTCAATAGCCTGCATAAGCACAAGTATTGCGTGGACGTGGATGGGAAGGAGTACGGGGACTGGTTCGACTATGCTGGCGGCGCCAAGTCGCAGGTGAAAGAGGGTTTGGAGGAGAAGCTGGAGGCTGGCATTGTCGGCACTATGCGGCTACTCCTCCCTAGCATGGGCGGGCCAAGTGGCTAGACAACGCCCTCTTCTAGTGCAGTCATGGTTCATCATGGCTCGGGGCGGGCCCCTCCCCCATCATCCCACTCCCCTGGGGGTAAGGGTAGAGGGGCGGAGGGAGAAGAAAGAGAGGTATGATCGGGGAGGGGATCGAACATAGAAGGATCACTGTCGGAGAATGAAGGAGGACAAGTAAGTCAAACCAACATTGTTTGGCAATACGAGGTTGAGGACATCCCCACGGATGTCAGATCATTTTGATGTGTAGCGCCAGTCGGTCGTTATTCTGCCAGGGCCAGCAATACAAGTTGCACATATTTGTTCGGCCATTCTGCGTCCTGGATGGTTGGGGTCTCTGGATGTTTTCCCTTTTGCGGATACCCCGAAATCTAGAAACGCCACATTGGTCGATGGGAGTTCGCTGACGTGTGATCAATATCTCACGTCTTGGACGAATCAGAGTCATACCCCCGACATAAACCAAGAAGCGCAGATGCTGTGGACCACAATCTTTTCCCAGGAGTGGTCTGTATGGGATGTTGCCTTCTCGCTGGATACAATCAGGACGTGGATTTTCTCGGGCGAGGACGTAACCGCACCCAGACGATCCACTCTCTCCGATGAAGAAAAGGACCGCATAGGAACCTTGGACCGATGACGGCAGATACATTTGTGCCAGTTGCCATGCTGTAAGGGCAGGTTTTGGGCATTGCTTATATTGCCGCGTCGTGGTAAATTACAAATTGAATGTCAGAACAAATTATCTGCAGAAATCGGCCGGACAGGCGTTGTCTGCTGCCTGGGCGCCACTGGGCCTCCAGCCGCGTCTGGAGAACCCCCCGACTGGAGAGGAGCGGTTCAAGGTCATCAATGGTTGGCTAAGAGCAATGAAAAAAAAGTTCTGCTGACGCCATAGAAAAATTGACCGAGGTGGAACAGCATCAACATAAGTGGGCTCTTGATGAGCTAGCCCGTAAAAAGATGGCATCGGCTGGAGGAACACGCATTGTTTCGATGCCAGGAACTGTTCCTTCATGGTTCCCCAGCAGCGCCTCGGCGCAGCCGCCGGCGCGACGTGGACCTTTCTTCCAGTATCTTGAACCCTTGAAGCTTAGTTTTCTTGATATGTTGAAGCAAAAGCACGGGGATCATGATCGCCCCGCTGCTGCCCAATGGTGGCTCTGGACGCCCGATCTTGACCAATGCGCTCGCCCTATGACATGTTATGCGCTTGCTGTGTTCGATTGGGATCATGTCAGTGCAGATCTTACGCAGCCAGAGGTGGGCTGGGTTCAGTGGGGGAGAGAAATGGAGAGGAGGGGAGTTGTTATTCCTATGTTGCCAATATGAATTGACAATTTTAGTGCGGTGAACCAAGCAGTCGCAGTCGCCACCCCTGGAGATATTGATGTTCACATTGTTGTTGATCTTCACCACCGGCCAAGCCGCAGGGATGACGCGATTTTGCAACGTGAAGAGAAAGCTGAAACGTCGAACGGTGTTTCCAACGCATGCATTGCACAGCGTCACAGGATGATTCTTGCAGATCGGGACTTGCCTTCTTGGCGTGATGTAATCTTCATGTATGACTGCATGGGTGATTGCAAACACGACAACAACACACATGAAATATCAGAGGTAATCAAAGTCGCAGCACAGTTTGTCCTTGAATACCCAACGATTCATCCAAATGCGAGGCAATTGGACTCAGACGTGATTCGTGACTCGCCTCCAGGATTAGGAGAGCTTATAGACCACATTTGGGATCAGCCATTCAACCGTATCCCTGTTCACGGAAGATGGGGAAGTTTTATGTTAGCTGTGCGCGAGATGATATTCTCATCAATGCCAGCGGGAATTTCTGTTGCCTTTCCCGGGTATGAGCTACAGCGCACTCCGACATCTGATAAATCCTTGGGACGCCTATGCTCTGGATTGTTGAATCCGATCAGCAATCGAAGCATTCGATTTGCTTGATAACTGGCTTGAAGGCTTTCAGATTTTTTCCAAGGCCGCGCGAGATAATTGCTCCAGTACTCATGAAACCATTGTCTTCATTCGTACGTTGACAGACAGATCAACCGCACAGTGTCCGAAGTTGTGTCGCGACTGGCCTTTTGGGAAATTTCAATGCCGACAACGCTATCGGAATCATCAATCTCCTCAATAGGACGAGGGCGGAAAACGGCGCAGCCGCTTCTCCCGCCGAGACAGTTCAGGCTGAGTCGCCAGCGGGTGGCCCGGCCTCTATTTCTGAAAATGTCGCCATGCAGCGAAGTAGTCGACGTTCTCGGTCACTTCCGAGGGGGCCAAAGCCATGCCGGAAGACATCTTATCGTACTGTTCCTACCCGTCTGCGTCTGCCGGCACTGCCGCGTCAGGCCGCGAGCTTATATGGATTGCCGGGCAGAGTTCGATCCTGGACAGACGGGCCCAGGATTGAGATATATATACTACAAACACTGGCGGTTGCGCCGGGTGGCGGATCTTCCCGCGACGGCCATGGCGCCGGGCCGCTCGCGGGCGGCATCTACGACGAGACCGTCGATTACGAAGACAAAAGGAAACAGGATATATTCAATGATATGATGTACATTTTTCTCGGCATCAGACAGTTGCGGGTCACAGCAAAACGCGGCAATAGTTTGGACTTGCTGAGTGCAATGATAAATTTCGTCGGTCTTCTGGATCGTCGAGAAATTTGCGAGTGCCCGTGCCTCCGCCTGCGCCGACGGCGAGTTCGTCGGAGGAGGGCCGGGGCAATAATGAACGCTACGAATGGAGCCCATCAAGTGTCTGGAGCACAAGAAGAGACTGGCACTGGGGGGGCTCTTGGGAGTCAAAAGACCGTTGGAGAAGGCGCAGATGGAGATGACAGGGTTCGGCGCGACACAGTCGGAGCTGAATCGTACTACTTCGCGGAGCGGATGCACCAGGTGCACACGGGCATTGAGACCTGAGCTGAGAACGTTAACTCAGGCGGGAAACGTCGGGCTTCTCCGGCCTTCTGCCCCCGGGCACCCACCGTCGAGCGGTGGAACTTTTTGTTGGGCGTTTCGCTCCGGTGGTTGTGCATGTGCACAGGCCTGGTGGGTAGGGGTCGGGGCGGCCCTACGCGTCCCGCCGCGGGGGGGGTCGATGCGCCCCTTCGCGCCGCCTGGCTCCTGCCCTTCTCACCCACGGTCGCTTTGCTTGCACTGTCCGCTTCTCTTCTTGACTTGGATATTACCTGAAGCTGTTTGGCTCAGGTGTGACAGAAAAGGAGCGCGCCCGCGCGCGGCCGCGCGCGTCGGCCGGCGGGCCGACCTCCCCCCTTCAGGGTTGCATCTGTTGCATGCTTAACGGCATTATCTTTTCTTGCCCATGTCTGCTGCGAGGCCCATTGACTATGGGACATCATCGGGACATATTGCAGGGATAACGAATATCCAGGCAAAAGACTAGGAGGGAAGGGGGGGGAACGGATGGGGGGAGGGGAGTTCGAGGGGCTCGGTGCTCAGATGTGTCCCGTTCGAAACATCGCATTTGCATGCGCTATCGTTTGCAGCGTGCGCGCGTGCGTGCGCGCGTGCGTGCGCGCGTGTGTTTTTGAGTTTGCGTGCGAGCGCAAACGAGTGCGCAAGTGTAAGCAGCGCGCGTGTGCGCGACGATTCGTGCGAGCGCCTTTGCAGCTGGCTCCGCGCGCGTGGCCAGAGGGCGCGCCGCCCGCGAGGCCCAGGTTGGTCCTCGGGCCCGAAGATCTAGATTGAAGCCAGAGGGAGTAGCCCTCTAGAGGCGAGGGGGTAGCCCTCCAGTGGTGAGGAGCTGGTTGCCTCCGCCGGCGGCGCCCCGAAGCTGGCGGGCCCAAGACGCGGCAGTCGTGCACTGTGACGGGCGGCTCGCGCCAGAGGTGCGCTGGGGCGGATGGCCGCGGCGAGGCATCCGCGCGGGCGAGGGCTCGCGCCCGGGGCCCGCCCTTGCAGCCGCGCCGCGCGAAGTCACAGTGCCCGTCGCCAACGTCACGCGTTGGAATGCGAGTCGGCGGGGCTCGTCCGCAGCCGGCGCCGGCGCTGGTGCCTGCAGGAGGCCCGGACCCCCGAGGCAGAGGCGGCCTCGTCGGTGGCCGCTGCTTGGACGCGAGGCCTGCAGCTGCCTCCTGGGCCGCTCGGCGCGGGGGGGCGCCTGTTAGCGGCAGCTCGCCGGCTGGGGTGCGCCCAGGCTCGCGCGGACCTGCCCCTAGGGCTCTCGGGGCGGCACCCTCGCCGCCTGCAGCGCGCGGTGCTGCATTTCGGCGGAGGCCGCGCGGTTCACTTCATGAACTGCTGCGTTTATGTTTTCGCCGATGCATCGGCGATGCGGCTCGATGCGGAACCCGATACTCATCACGCCGACGGCGCCGACGCATCGCAGATGTACCGGCGATGCGGCGCGACCCTCCGACCCCGTCTACTCGGACCCCACCTGGGAGGTCTCAGACGAGGCGCTTTCAGACGAGGTGCCCCAGGCGGGCCAGAAGGCAGTGCAGGCGGTGTCGATTTGCGCACCTGTCGGCTGAATGTGATGTGTGACAGCGTCCCGATCAAGAGCGTGTCGGGCCCAGCCGCCGCGCGATCGGAACCACTCGGGGCCTTATCCTGACCCTCAAGTCCTCCCCCTTTTGTGTTGTTGTAGCCCCCTTTCCTCCACCGTGTGCCCGTAAGCGACATTTGGGCACAGTGCGAGATACAATTGAAGAGGAAAAGGCGGGGCAGGAGAGGTGTTATTTTTCTCTCTTTTGTTTGCTCGATCGGCCTGCCTGCCCGCGAGCGTGCTGTCGCGTCGGGTCGTCGCGACGTTTCTGCGCTTTTGTTCCTTGCGCGTGAAGCATCCTCAGCAGATTACCTTCACGCTTATACGGGAAACGCTGTGGGCTCGGCCATCCCCCGCGCGCCCTCCACTAGTAGTTAAGGAGGTGCCGGGTCCGGGGCCAGGAGGTCGTGGTAGGAGTTCCCATCCAGGTCTCATCGTCGTCGTCTTCGTCGTTTTTTCCACCAGCTAAGTGCCAGGTCGTGGTAGACAACCCCATCAACCGGTTCTCAGTGGTGGCGCCCCTGCCGGACGGATGCGGCTCCGTGCAGTTCGTGAACAAGACGGCGCACATGCATTCGCCCAGGCTTGACTGGACGAGTTCGGGGAAGCGGCAGGGGTGAGAAGGGTTGGCGACGGGGAGAAATGACGGAGACACGGATGCAGGGGAGAGTAACTGGGGCAGGGGGAGAGCGATCAGAGAAGGAGAGAGGGGCGGGGGGGAGAGGGATGAGGGTGATAAAAGGGATGGGGGAAGGGTAGGGGGGAAGAGAAGGAGAGAGGGCGGGGAGACGGGGAGGGGGAAAGGGGGAGGGCGGAGACGGGCAGGAACATGCGGAGAGGGGTGGAGAGCAGAATGGGAGAGGGAGGGAAGGAGGAGAAGGAGGCGGATGAGGAGGAGGGCCAGAGTAAGTAAATCCAACATGTATTGGCGCTGCAACACACCATCTTGTCCCGAGTCTTCGCTTGATTAGTCCCTGTACGGTTTTTCTTTGATTGCCACAAGCGGTACAAGCGCCACCCTTGAACAAAGAGCGCCGCATGGACCGGCAAATCCGGCGAGAGCTCCGTTTTGACAGAAAGTACATTCTATCTTTTGAGCTTTAAGGATACGACAAGTTGGGGCCATAAGGTTGAAGGACATGCCCAATGACAGTTCGCTTTGAAAAGGAACCGCCCTCCGCCCGTGTAATTAGCTGTTGCACATGTTTCTATGTTTGGTTTGACATATGAAGAGCGAAATTTCAAGCAAGAGCTCCATTTGGAAAAGCGCCCGCCCTCCATCTGTGTTATCTGCGGTTTCACAGCTGTATACTCGTGGTGGTTAATGTGGAGGACGACTTCGGCGGGCGTTTCATCTTGAAAAGAAGCCGCCCTTCATTTGTGAAAGTGTTTGGCTCTTGAGACGAGTGTGCGCGGCGCCTAGGCGAGAGCCCCACTAGACGGGTGTTCGTGACGCCAATGTTGCGATCCCAATTTTGAAAACCACCTGCCCATCCAGTAACGATGCACAGGGGAGCTGTCGGGAAAATGGAATTATTCAGGTGGCTTACGCCATTCTGCCGACCCCCACACGGAGTGAGTGTTTGAGATAGTCTTGGAAGTTCTATCTTGGGTCAGGAGCCTGGATGAATCTGAGGATCTCTTGCGATGCCTCTCTAGGGCCTCGTAGAGAACTCGTGGGGGCATGTGGGAGGCTTTTTGGGGCCTCGTGGGGACCCCAGAGGGGCTTTTTGGTGGCGTCTTGAAGGCCTCAGTTCGTATTCCCCCTCTTGGTCTTTTTTGGATCCCTCTTGGGGCCCTCCAGGGGCTGTCTGGGGCCGTCTTGGGCCGTCTTGGAGCCTTCTTGGAGCCTTCTTGGAGGCATCATGGGCCTTAGGCCGCCTTGGGACGATCTTGGGGGCCACTTGGGCCGTCGTGTTCGCCGTCAAGACGTGAAATGCGAGTGTGCTGTTTTCTGGTTTTGTCAAGAAAGGGATGATATGATTTGGGCCTCCTGGGGCACCTTCGGCGATCCTCTGGAGGCGCTTTTTGGGTGGGGGGCCTAGTGTACCATCTCGAAGCCATCTCGGATCGTCGCGGGGCTACCCTGAGCCGTCGCGACGTTCTCTTCGACTGTCTCGCCCTGTTCGGCTGTCTTGAGGCTTTTCGGGGGCTCCAGAGGCCCCGAGGGTGCGTTGACGAGCTCGCGTCCCCCCCCCCCAGAATGGCATTTTACAACCCAGGGGAGGGGGAAATGGGGAGGAGGTCAGCCAAATGTCTCACACGCCTTTTCTCCCCCGGGCAAGCAGGGGCCGGCACCTAGGAGCTCGCTTTGGGCTTTTCTGAGAACTTTCTCGGGGCGTTTTTGGGAGCGCCCTGCTGCTTGTCTCGGCCTGTGGCCGAGGGTGTCCAGGCCAGTGGACGCCTGTCACCATCAACTACAACAGAAACGGGCATTTCGGGCCCTCTTGGGCCATCTTGAAGGCCATCGACTACAAGGGGAGGCGGCGCCGATTACCGTCGCTCTTCTGGAACCAGGAAAAATGGCTTGGGCCCCCCTTTGGGCGCGTTTGATGCGCTCTTGGGCGCTCTCGGAGCCGTCTCGAACCTCTTCTGGCCTTGGGTGTTCATGGGGTCCGTGTTGACGCATCGGAGGCCGCTCGAAAGCGAAAAGGCGAGAAGCAGAGCATCATCGTCACATCTGTCGAACGTTCTTTGTTTCGACGAGATTTGGGCCTCTCGGGGATCTCTCAGGGACGCTCCGTGGCCACCTGGAGCCGTCCTTGAGTAGTTTTGGGGCCACTTGTAGGCATGTTGGAGATCAGACCGAGCCACCTCGGGATGTCTTCAGCCACATGGGAGGCCATCTTGGGCCAGCCGATGCCCTTTAGGCTTATCGGGCCATCTCGGACGCTCACATTCGGCGAAAAGCCCAGAACGCCCAACTGGGGCGTCTGGTGGTGCGACAGGGGGAGAATGTTTAAAAGGAGGATGGATCGAGGCAGAGAAGCTTATCATTACCGCTCCTCCTTTCTACCCCTTTCGCCTCATCCTCCCATTCCTTCCCCCCTCTAGTCTCTCTCCTCCCGTCCTCTTGTGCTCCCGCTCCTCCTCGCTCCTCCTCGCTCCTCCTCCTCCTCCTTCTCCTCCTCCTATTCCCGTTCTCCCTCCCTCCCTTCCTCCTCCTCCTCCTCCGCTTCCTCCTATTTCTTCTCCGCCTCCTCCTCTCTTTGCATGGTCTTGGATGGACTGTGCACGCAGGCTGCGCTCAGTAGGGGTGTGTTGTACGCGTGTGCTTGCTCTTCGTGCGCGCTGCACGCGTGGCACGTTTTTGTTTGAGTGTGTGTGTGTGGCAGACGTGCGCCGCCAGCCCAAGGCGGGGGTTACGTTTCTAGCAGAGTTTCCAGGCCGCCGTCTGCGGCCAGCGTGACCCCACTGCGGGGCAAGAGAGCACGATATGACCCAACAACATTCTCCTCCGCCCTCTCCTGCTCCCCGTCTTCATCTCCACCATCTCCTCTTCGAGTCCCGATGGCCTTTTTCCATTCGCCACCCTTTCCTGTGGCGCAGGTGGCGCTCCGTCTGACATACCACCTGGGCCACAAAAGGTGCCGTGCACTGTTTCAGCGACCGCCTCATGGCTCCACGGAGCATGAGGTCACCAGACTCGAGGCTTCTCTGTTGCTTTGAAAGGGTCACATCGTTGCGCCTGCTGCCCGTGGCGCCTGCGGTTTGCTAGATTGCAAAGGGCTCACGGCTGGTGTTGCCGACCTTGAAGATGGACAACGGCGATTACGACGACCCGTGGCGCCTGCGGCTTGCTAGATTCGGGGGCGGCCAAGAGGGGGCCGATGACTTAGGAGGGGTGGATATCGTGGCGGGGCGATTCTATCGCCCTGGAGCTCGTGGCCCCCTCTTCTCCTGTCAACATGTTTTGTGGTTCGCCCTTGGCCGCGCACATGCCTCGGGCCCTGATTTGCGAGCCGCGAGCCCCCCCTCTTGGACGCCACCCTCTTGGCCTCCCGACGCCGACGCTGTAAAAACCGCAGAGAGAGAGAGAGAGGGAGGGAGAGAGGGAGAGGGAGAGAGGGAGAGAGATAGAGAGGGAGGGACAACGAACGAGATGTCGAACCACAAGCAGCAGCATAAGCATAATCTCTCGGAGAGCTTCGCGCGAATTGCTCGGATCGGCGCTGGAGCCCCCTGGCGGCGCCTCTGGTGCCGCCTTTGGCGCGTTCCGCGCGGCTGGGAGGGGGTCCAGCGCCGATCCAAGAAGTGAATGAGCACCGCCGAGAACGTCTGGTTGTTTGTTTGTTTCTTTCTTTCTTGAGAGGGAGAGGGAGACAAAGAGAGAGAGAGAGAGAGCGGAAGGAAGAGACAGAGAGAGAGAGAGAGATAGAGAGAGAGGGAGAACGAGAAAGGGAGAGAGATAAAGACCTCCTGGGAGGTGCATCCTAGCCACCGATGCGGGCTACTACAGCCTGCACGAGGAGGACACGTTCGCGTGCATCGGCAACGTGGTTGGCGACGGCGTCGCCGCCTTAGAGAGTCGGATCGAGGCTGTTGTGCAGCCAGCGTGGCGGGGAGAGATCTGCCCACAGCGGCTCCTTCTGATCCTTGCATCCTCGGGCCCGTTTGGGTGCCCTTTTGGGGTGTCTGGGGACCTGCAGGTGGTCTCGGGGGTAAATCTTGGAGCAGAGGTCTCGGCGTGTCAGTTCGTGGGCCTCTCTTGAAACCCCGTTTGGCCGCCTTGGGGCCGTCTCGGGGCGATCTTGAGGGCCTCTTGGACCGTTGTGGAGCGTCGGAATACCGAGAACACGTACCACTACGAACCTTCAAACGCCGAATGTAAGCTACTGATTGTTGCGTCTTGTGGCGCTGGTAGGGGTCTTCTTCTGGCCTTCACGGGGGTGCGGAAAGGAGAAGCGCGGGGAAGAGTGGCGGCGATGACGACGAGGGAGGATGAGGATGAGGAGGAGGAGGAGGACGAGGAGGAGGAACGGGTGGGGCGAGGAGACCGAGTTGGAGAAGGGCAGGCGAGCCGGGTTACTCGGCATGGCCCACCCCCAACACCAAACCCCCTCGGACACCCTCCCGCTCCCAGGCGTGGAAGGGATCAAAGAGGAAGGGTTTCCCTCCGATTTGATGACGACTTGAGGCGGTTTCCTCGCTCCATTCGGGCTGCAGATTTGGGACGGTTTCCCTTCGGAGCTTGGGCTTCGCTGGGGACGCTCCGATCTGCTGGACTTCGCAGGGGGCGCTCTCGGCCTCTCACGTATACGCCGACAGGGTCGACGGATCTTCGGGGCCGCGCCAAGTACACGTGGCGGGCACCGAGTGCAAGCTCCAAAGGAGGTGCGATCGAAGATGACGAGGGCGGGTACTGATGGTGTGGGGATGCATGCCGAGTGACACGTGACCAATGAAGCACGACCAGCATCAACGCGACGGTTGTTGTTGCTGCTGCCGCAGGGCAAATTAGTCTATATTGGTTTGGCAGGAGTTGCCAGTGGGGTCTTTCTCGGCCCTCCTCCCCAGAGCTCGAGCTAAACCATGTTTTGGCGATTTCGTGGGACGTTCTCTTTTCGATTTCGTTTTGCACCAAGTGCGGAACGAAGACAGGACGAGGGACATCAAAAACAAAACGAACCCAGAAAGCACTGCTAAGCCCGGTCCCTGCTCCTCAGTTTTCCCCTCCTGGCCCCCCGACGCTCCCGCGCCCGCGGGAAAGCGCGGGGTCGGTGGGGAGGTGCCTCCGGAGATCTCTGGAGGCCAATGGAAGTCTCCAGAGGCCCAGCATGGGCAGACGAAGCCCTCAAACCTCGAGGGGAAAAGGGGCGACGGGGGATGAGAGGAGGGACAGCTATAATGATGTCGATGCTGATGCTGATGCTGATGCTGATGCTGATGCTGATGCTTATGATGTCCATGACGATGGCGATGACGAGGACGAGGACGATGATGATGACGATGATGTTGACGACGACGATGATGATGACGATGCCGATGACGATGTTAATGATGCTGCTGATGATGACCAGGAGGATGATGAAGAGGAGGAGGACGATGCTGATAACGATAATGATGTTGATGTTGATGTTGATGATGGTTCTGACGAAGAGGATCACGATGATGATGCTGATGATGATGATGGTGATGGTGATGGTGATGATGGTGATGATGGTGATGCTGATTATGCTGATGATGCTGACGATGATGATGATGATGATGATGATGATGATGATGATGATGATGATGATGATGACTATGATGATGATGATGATGATGATGATGATGATGATGATGATGATGATGATGATGATGACGATGACGATGGCGATGTTGACGATGCTGGTGATGATGGTGATGATGATGGTGGTGAGGAGGAGGATGAGAATGAGGAGGAGGATGCGGATGGGTATGATCATGAGGATGCTGCTGCTGCTGACACAACTGATGATGGTGATGATGGGGATGTTGATACTGACGTGGATGATGAGGATGCGGCTGATAATATGATGGTAATAGTGATGCTGTTGCTGCTGATGATGGTTCTGCGACCGTACTGCTGGTGATGATGACGACTATGCTGATACTCATGATGATGCCGATGATGGTGCTGATTATGATTATGATGATGCTGCTGGCCATCATGCTTCTGACAATGACGATTATGGTTATGGTGATGGCGATGGTGATGGTGGTGGTAGTGATGATGATGATGATGAGGATGAGGATGATGGTGCAGATGAGGAGGAGGAGGAGGAGCAGGAGGGTGAGGACTAGGAATCTGATGCTGCTGCCCATGACGAGGATAAGTACGATGCTGCAGCTGCTGCTGATGATGATGCAGATTACGACCATGACAACACTTCGACGACGACGACGGCGACGACGATGTTGATGCTGATTCTGATTATGATGATGACGATGCTGCTGATGATGAGGAGGAGGCCCATGATTATGATGATGCTGGTGATGATGATCATGGTGATGATGGTGATGCTGATGATGATGCTGCTGCTAATGATGAATATGCGGATGATGACGATGATAACGACGATGATGGCGAGGCGGAGGAGGATGTCGATGCGCATGCTGATGCTGTTGCTGATGATAATGGTGATGACGACGAGAATGCAGATGATGTTGTTGCTGATGCTGATGATGCTGATGCTGCTTATGCTGATGGTGGTGAGGATGTTGGTGATGGTGACGCTGGCGTCGAATGTGATTATGGACCCGGATGTGAAGCTGATGATGCTGAAGATGCAGCTGATGCTGATACTGCTGATGGTACTGATGAGGATTCTGATGATGCGGCTGATGATGATGATGCTGCTCATTATGACGATGCTTAGTATGATGCTGATGTTGATGATGCTGATGATGCGGTTGGAGGTGACGATGATGACGATGATGACGATGATGATACTTGATGGGGATGATGATGCCGACGGCAAGGAGGAGTGTTACTGATGCTGCCGCTGATAACGGTGAGGAGGAGGAGGCGGACGAAGAGACAGGGATAAATAGTTAGAGAGAGAGAGACAGCGAGAGAGAGAGAGAGAGAGAGAGAAAGAGACGGAGAAAGAGAGAGCGAGAGAGGAGGAACGCACTTATTTACCGATGATGCTGACGATGCTGAGGATGCGGAGCATGCGACGAGAGGACGATGAGGAGGATGAGGAGGAGGATACGGAGGAGGAGGAGGAGGACGACCACGCGGCCGCGAGGTCGTCCAGAACACTGAGCCGTTCAACACCACGAACGTGAACTTCGGGGTGCTCAAGAATGGCGGGCTGGGGGGGCCCTGCTGTCGTGGTGCTGGGGCGGGGGTGGGGAGGAGAAGGAGCAGAAGGAGGAGGCGGGTGAGAGGGAGGTAGGGAGGGATGGCGGAGGAGGAGGAGTCGGAGGAGGAGGAGGAGGAGGACCAGTGTACACCTAACAATCGTCAACGATGTTGGAGTAACATCCTCCCTCCAAGCTCCCTCTTCATAGGTCCCTGCAAGGAATCATTCCAACTGGCGGGAGTGCCCCGTTGGGAGACAACCGCTTGACCATCTTGAAGCGCGCCAACTTCTCGAAACTTCAACGCCAATAATCAACTTGACCGATGCGTATCTACGGTCCTTACTCGTGCCACAACGCCCTTCCTTGGGCTTCAACATGGCGTATCAACGTACCTGCTGTGCCTTGAGAAACCTTACCTGTTCCAGAACACAATTCCTGGCCCGTTAAATATGAAGATCTGTGAACCTCTTACAAGATTCCAAAACGAATGTGCACAGCGCTAGGGCGAGAACCACATTTTGGAAACCACCCGCCCTCAATCCGTGAAGTCCTTGCATTTTTGTTTCAACGATGCGCGGCGCTAAGGCCAGAGCCACATTTTGAAAACCACCCGCCTCCAATCCGTGAAACTCTTGCACATGTTTAAGAACGAATGTGCGCGGCGCCAAGGCGACAGCCACATATTGAAAACCACCCGCCATTCATGTGTGAAACTGGTGCAAATTTGGGCCTCAGGATCATCGGTAGTAAGGAAGTCTCAGGCGAAAAGTCTGGCCCGCCCTTCCGACTTGCCTGGGGGAGGAGTTATCTGTATGGAAAATGAATGGATGAGGAGGAAGAGGAGGAGAAACAGGAGGTATAGGAGGAGGGGGGTGAAGAAGGAGGAGGAGGAGGAGGGAGGTGAAGGAGGAGGAGGAGGAGGAGAAGGAGGAAGAGGAGGAGGGGGAGGAGGAGGAGGAGGAGGGGGGAGGAGGAGGAGGAGGAAAAGGGAGGAGGAGGAGGAGGAGGAGGAGGAGGAAACAGGAAGGATCAGCAGCGGGTGCGAGAAAGGCGAGCAGTGGCAGCGGGCCCTTCTTGCCGCCCAGTGGGAGGTCCTGAGAGGAGGGCAGGGGCAGTTGAGGGGGAAGTGGTTGCCACTTGCCACGTCGAGTCTGGCGATGCCGTGGGAGGGCAGAAACACGGGTCTTGTCGCCGTCGCCGCCGCCCCACCGCGCGAAAGGCAGCTGGGTCATCGGCTACATCTCGCCAGAGCAGGTCAAGTCTGGCATGTTCCAGCAGCTTGTGCAGGGGCTGGGCTGGATTGTACGCAACGGCAAGAGCTACGTAGATGAGGGCTGGGAGGACCGACAGGGCTTCCGTCGGGGCCGGCCACATTTCTCTCCATCTCATCCAGCCATTCCAGGTCCAGAAATACGAGACATGAACCGATCACTCGAGCATTCTCTTCAATGTAGAGGCGCGTTGCCAGGTCCCGACCGGATTTCTTCTATCGTTTCGCGCGTTCCACTGGCCCAATTTGCATCATAGTCGTAGTTGCCATTTGCCCATGGGTTCGCAGGGGTTGGAACGTCGTTTGGTTGTGATACAGTCGAAACCGATAGTAAGGAGTGGTAACCTTCCCAGGGGTACCCTTGCATCCCTGCCTTCTCTCGGTGTATCCTTGATCACCGTCGATTGCCAGCTCTGCTCGAAAAGCTTCGACATGGTCGTCAAAGGGGCTTGCAGCCTTATCGAGCAGCCTTGCTATTAAGTCTTGACTGCAGTCAGGTCCTGGTGCTGTCGCGCGAGGCTCGCCCGAGAGGGGGAGCAGCCGCTGGGCAGGTGGGGGGGGAACAACCCAGCAGGACGCCCCCATGCCCAAGTCTCCACCACTTGGGGCCCGCTTAAGGGCTGTCCGCTGCTTCTCGGTAGCATCTCGAAGTCTTGCCACCCCCTCCAGGAGGGCCATCCCAATCGGCGCGCCCCGTGGGCCAAACGAAGACAGCGAGCCACGCGCACCGCAAGTGGCAGCAGCGCGGGCGCGGGCGGGGCCCTGCTGCGGGCCCCTGGGGCGCCTCTCAGGGGCTGGCTGGCGCCTCTCGGGGGCCTCCGAGGGGGGCACGCCTGGCCACAAAAAGGCCACGTGTGCAGTGCATCGGGCTGTCTCGGATCATCCTGGTCCACTTGGGCACCATCGTAGTTTCGGCGTTTTGGGGCAATCTGTAAGCCGTCTCATGGCCTGGCTCCGATTGGCCCGCGCTCTCAGGCCGCTCTTGGGCCCTGTCGGGGCTCCCTTGGGACCCTCTTGCGTCTTGGGACCCTCTTGCGTCAGTGCTGAGTTGGGACCCTCGTGGGCACACCACGTGGCCCGCGAAGCCCGCTGCATCCCGCAGAGGGGCAAAGGCCAACAGGCGCAACAGCCGCGTGTCTCTGAATGTTTCTGGCAGTCTTGCGGGCCTCCGAGGGGGGCATGCTCGGCCATAAGATGCCGTGTATGCGGCCCATTGGCACGCCTCGGTTTATCCTGGGCCACCTCGGCCCTCCCAGGTCCCCAGGCGGCGGCAGGGCCGCACGGCTTCGCCCGCTGCGGGCCGCCTCATGCCTCCGGATAAGTGGGCAGGGCCGCTACCCGAGAGTGCGGCACCGTCGTCGTCCGCCGTCGCCGTTCCACCAAGGGCCGTCCGAAATCCAGCCAGTCTTCGGTCTCGGTAGCAACTGCACACCACACGTTTCTATGCGATGTGTGCGTCGGCCCCCTTGGGGCGACGCGCGCGCTCCGACATCCTATGCGGCCAGTCCGAGGTATAAGATCGAGGTCTGCTTTGGGAGGGCACCCTACTGTTCTTCGTGCGTGTTTGAACGTTCTAGTGCACCCTGGGGAACAGGTACCCTCGAGTGTTCTTCAGGTTGGCCGGCGGAGGGTCTCATGTTCTCGCAGAATGTTCTTCTGTCCTAGGTCCGGCCGTATAGCACGCAGATGCCCTTCCGTTGCAAATCGTAGATAGCTCCGTCTTTTTGGTGCGCCAGCGCCTGTTAGCGTCTGGTGATTGGTGAGGTATCGCCGATGTAGCATCGATTGGTGTCGATCAGCGTCGATTAGCGTGTATTACGCCCATGTGCTCGGTGGCGGACTCTTTCCTGCAGCCTGGGTAGCAGTATCCTGCCACATGCTCGTACTATTATGTTCGGTTCGGATTTGGGCCTCCAAAGGGGGCACGCAGCACTAGCATATCCTGCTCCAATCCTCAGGTCCGTCCTTGCTGGTTCTCCTCCGAGCCGCGCGCGGCCGTGGCCACGAGTACCTCCAGCTAGTCGCCTCCCAGATAGAGGAGGGATCATGGCATGCACATACACTTTCGGAGCCCCGCGCGGATTTCTTGGGTCGGCGCTGGACCCCCCTCTCTGGCGCCCGAAGCGCGCCAGGGGTGGCGCCAGAGGCGCCGCCAGGGGGGTCCAGCGCAGACCCAAGATATCCGTGCGGACCCTCGAAAGTGTATGCTTATGCAAGTGTTCTTAACTAGCGAATGCGGGAAGGGTTCTTACAGTGACCAAGACGGACCACACAGACGCCCCCGGGTTTGCCGTTTCGCCCGAGACATTCTCACGGCTTATTCGCCTCAATGTTGGCTATATTTTATATTTTCTTGTTCCCCTGCAGAATCGGGTGTTGCTAGAAGTGTCCCTGGTCCAAGGTGCCCCCAGGATTCCCAAGGAGGCCCCCACGGCCTCCAGAGCAACCCTCGCAAGGCCCAGAAGACTCCGAGGGGGCCAACATTGAACGAAAAGCTGGGGGCACCCTGGGCCAGGGGCACCTTGAGCAACCCCCGGCAGAAGGCTCCCCGAAGCGAGGGCGCCGTCGTCGCCGCCTTGCCGGAGGTCCGTGGGCTCTGTGGCAGAGCCACGGCCCTGCATCCCCGGCCGCGCCCCTCCGCGGCGGGAGGCGGCCGGTGCGGGGTACGCGCTCCGGGCTCGCCCCTGCTCGGGCTCGAGGGCGACAGCCGCAGGAGGATACCATGGAGGAGGAGGAGGAGGAGGAGGAGGAAGAGGAGGAGGAGGTGGAGAAGGAGGAGAGGGAAGAGGAGGGGCGGAGGGGAATTCTGCCACCACGTGGTGATATGATATGAGGAAGGCATGCCCCCTCACCTTGAAGACACACGCGACAAGGGACACGAAGCGCGCGAACTGGAGGCACAATTTTCTTCATACCGCGCGCCACCATTTCAGAAGCCAAAGCGTCCCACTTGAATGACATGTATGCCACCGCCACAGAAGAAAGCAACAGAAACGTGACACATCACAGAAACGCCACTTGGAAGGTATTTACTGAAATTTGGAGAAGGCCTTCACGTTACTGGGTATATGGGTCGCCCCGTTCTCCTCGGCTACCTTCCCGAACGGGGGTTGGCCAGCAGAACACGATACACACCGAGAGGTGAATGACACTCGTGAAGACATGCAGAAACAATAACGCATCGCATGCCGAATGTACCGCCGAATTGAGCCTGCACAGCAAAACTGGATGCGTACACCACAACCCCAAGCACACGATTGAAACACCATGAAACAAAACGGAATTGCTGCACCCGAACATTGCCACAAAGTTGAATTGGATATGTGCGACACATGGAATTTCAAAAGCATTGCCAACCCACTCGGAGTGCCTCTTGCTGGCCCATTGTGGCACATTAGCTGATAACGCGCCGAGGGGCCTCAAAACTTCTTGGCCAAGGCCGCGAACAGCGCTATACATGCAGCGTGCTGCTGATGATGATGAGGAGGATGATGATGACGATGATGATGATGGTGATGATGATGCTACTGATGCTGCTGATGGTGATGCTGATGGCGATGACGGTGATCATACTGATGATGATGGTGATGATGATGATGAAGATGATGATGATGATGATGATGATGATGATGATGATGATGATGATGATGATAATGATGATGATGATGATGATGATGATGTTGGATCGGGCCCAACCCAGCAAAAAGTGGCGTTACCTTGGTGTTATAGATATCATATAGGCGGCCACAGGATGGGCACCAAATCGTCACCATATTGAGGGCCGTGGTGACTTCGCCAGTCTGGTGCGAAAAGGCCCAGATACAAATTGTGTTAGATCAAAAGAGAAGCAATTCGAGGGGGGAGTGAGAGATGGGGGATGGGGAAAGGACGACGAGGACAGGGGGCAGGGGTGCACATACCAGGGCAGATGACGTCGCATGAATTTCGGAATTACCGTCGAGATGAAATGCCACTCACCGCGCCGTTGGGTCAAGTTCGGCACTGGATTCGCCGGTGTCGGTGCCTGTGGCGTTCCGCTGGTGCCAGGGGTGTCGGGCCGGCAAAAATATTTTTTCTAGCCCCAGCCAGCGGTCACCGCGGATTTTCGCCAACCCTGCAAAACATGGGGCCCGCAAAAAATCGGTGGCCTTATTTGGCACCACGCGGGGGTGGGGGGCGGCAAACATATTTTTGCCAGCCCCTCCCCGCTGGCACCATGCGGGGACGGAAACGATGGCGGCGTCCAGGCGTCGTTCCTGTTCGGTTGCCCGGGGCCCCGCTGGAGGCCAACCGAGGCATCAGGAGTATCCCAGGGGGTGCAGAAGCATCGGCAACTCAAGGAGCGCATGCTTCAGGAGATCCACAATTAGAATTGCAAGCGCCAGCTCTCACACAATACCCATGCACTTCCCACTCCTTTCCTCCATCATGGCCGGCGCCTTGGCATGAGCATCTGAAGACCAGCGCGCGCCTGGCAACTTATGTTTGGTGACCGTCCAGATCTTGCCAGGCATGCGGTGTCACCGGGCTACCCCCAAGGTAGAGCTGGGTTGGGCCGACCCAGTGATGATGATGATGATGATGATGATGATGATGATGATGATGATGATGGTGATGATGCTGAGGATGATGCTACTGCTGATGATGCTGATGGTGATGCTGATAATGGCGATGGCGGTGATGAGGATGACGATCATGATGATGAAAATGCTGATGCTGATGCTGGTGATGAAGATGCTGCAATTGATGATGATGGCGATGATGGTGATGCCGTCGGCGATGCTTGTGATGACGATAAGGTTGATGCCACTGAGGATGTTGATGCTACTGGTGATGCGGATGATGATGATGATGAGGATGGCGATGATGGTGCTGACGATGATGAAGATGATGATGTCGATGTTGGTGATGATGCTGATGATGCTGCTGATGATGTTGATGATGATGATGCTGTTGATGAGTATGATGATGATGAGGAGGAGGAAGAGGAGGAACATTAAACCGAGGGCGGATGGGGGCGGAGGAGGAGGCGGAGGAGGAGGAGGACGAGGACGAGAATGAGGATGAGGAG